GCAATGCTCCAGAAGTCGATGCTAGCCTCGTACTGTGGACGCGGTCCGCCGACTAGAGCACCTAGAGCATTTTATGTGTGGACACACACAATCGGCTGTATACAACCGATTTCAATAAAACCGGCTTCTATAAATTCGAACTAATTTCGTAATGTAGACATACCCTAAGTGTTTTCCTCTGCCAACCAACATAAAATCTGTGTTACTAGCCTTTAGCTTCAGCCAGCTCTTTTTCATCTATATTAACTCATCCAGCCTCTTACATAGTTGGCTGACAACAGTATATTCCTAAATTGTGAAGACAGATAGAGTTGTATGCCATGTGCATATTGTTGACATTTGAGCCCATTATGTCTCAGTTTTTCCTAGTACCTCCATGTAAATATTTAATAAGGGCTTGTCTACATTTAAAATGCTGCATGAGCGCAGCATCACCGCTGCAGCTCTTCAGTGAAGATGCTACCTACGCCCATGGGAGGGCTTCCCATAGGTGTAGGTAATCCACCTCCCTAAGAGGCGGTAGCTAGGTCAACGGGAGAATTCTCCCATCAACCTAGTGCTGTCTATACTGGGGGTTAGGTGGCTTTAACTGTGTCACTCAGGGGTGTGGATTTTTCACACTCCTGTGCAATGGAGTTATACTGACCTAATTTCCTAGTGTAGACCAGGCCTAAGACTGGGGAGAGAAGTGTGCCCTGAGAGACTCTGCAAGTGATGGGCACAGTGGTGGAGGTGGGATTTGCCTTCAGTTTTATGCAAGTTTCTTTTGCACTGTTACAGAAAGAAATGTCTAGTGTGCAACAATCTGCTCATGCTAGCAGGTGCATTTGTCATGGGCTTCAGTAAGACAGCCAAGTCCTTTGAAATGATTCTGATTGGACGCTTACTATGCGGCATCAGTGCAGGTGAGATGTCTCATATAAGTCAATTCTCTTTCCTATCTCACAATGCTTTGTGTCTCTTCAAATTAGGATTTCCCTTTACTTTGACAACAAAATATCCAGATTCATCCTCAGTGGTGCAATGTCTCATTAGGTCATATGCACAGAAACAGCACACATGCTACAACCAACCATTCTTACGCGTACCAATTCTGCTGCCAAAAACCAAAATTCTACTTTGAGAAAAAAAAATCCCTAGAGTAGCCAGAGGAAAGTTTGGGCTTACTGGATAATGTGTAATTTTCTTGATGGGAAAGAAATGAATAGACACATACTGTTCTTAGCCTACTTCAATTACAATGTGTAATTCCAGCAGAATATGGTTCTGATCAATGATATTGGAAAACAAAACAGAGCACAGTTTAAATCTAATGTTCTCATAAAGCTCTCAAGAAAAACTCTATTCAGAGCTTCACCCATTTTATTTTATCTCTGTAAAAATTCTCAGTACACTGTTTTTACCCCTCCCTCAACACATGAACTCCTTTGAGTTAGGAAAATGACCTGGGATAATCAATAAAAGTAATTCCTGGCAGGTGGCCCAGATGTCAATAAAAACTTCCCATGCTAATGCCATTATGTCTTGGATTTCTACCTACACAAAATGATACCTATTTTACCTCTTTACCTTGGAAAGGAATCTCTTATTTTGAAACAAAAACTTTTGTAAACTTATGTAAGGCAATGTTGCATTGAATGGCAGCATTTTTTTCTTATTTTTTATTTTTTTTGCCCATGCATTGGGATGCTCTGTAATTTCTTCTATGAGGAGCACCAGTCTCGCGCAGACAGAATTTCATCTGATTCAACAGAGTTTCATATCTTTATCACTTTTGCTACCATATGCTAACAGGAAGGACAATGTCAGAACCTTGTTTACTTTCATACCAAACAGAGGTATGCTGAGATCACAGTATTAAGGGAAACCTGTTACTTATCTAAAAGATGTAATATTTATTTTTAAATGCCTTTGTTTTCAGATTAAATATTTCACTCATTAAAAGATACAAAAAGCACGTTTTGCCCCAAACCTGCAACCTTAATAACGTAATGTGCAAAACAGATACACGTGACAAAAATATTCATGATTTGCTCTGGAATCCAATATTGCTTGCTACAGAAATATCCCATAAAGTACTAAAAAAATGTACTTTACCAGCCCTTCTGATATATCACCTCAGAAAAGTTTGAGGCAAGAGGCATGTATGGTTTTAGAAGCAAATCGAATACTACTACAAGGTTTTCACTTGTTGAGCTTTGTAGTCTCTCATTTCCGTTAAAAATCTTCTGCTGTCATTCACTGGAGGCATGATGATGATAATGATGATGATGCAACTCACAGGAAAACTCCTAATTTCTTACCCCCATTTTAAAAAAACAGACTGCAGATTAGTGGTGCATGATGCACAAGGAGGATGGGATAAGAAAGAGCTTGCCCAACAGATGAAGAGTCAGCAAAGGCAGTTGATTGCTTGAGTCTTATTTGACCCCTTATTTAATATACAATAAACAAGTCATGAGGCAGCTTATATTCTGGCGGAACACAATTTTTTAATTTACACTATTTTATTTCCTATAACGGTCTTGTTTCGTCTCCTAAATTCAAGGTTTATGTATTTCTCTACATCCTCAATATGCTGGAGAGGTTTCCCCCAAGAAGCTGCGTGGATTTGCAAATTCTACTATCCCTCTTTTTGGGGCACTGGGAAAAACCCTTGGGCAAATTATGGGACAAAGGTAGAATACACTTACTTACCTACCTACCTTTATTTCTCTATATTCTTTATCTTTCTGTTCATAGTCTTCCATTTGCCCATGCATCTCTCAAAAAACAAAATCTGCTGAACTTTTATTTTATATTTACATTTTTATACTCCCCAGGGAGTATTTAGGAACTGAGTCATTGTGGCCGTTACTGATGGCCTCCTGTGGAATTGCAGCATTGGTCCAGCTGGTCACTCTGCCATTCTTTCCTGAGTCTCCGCCCTACCTCCTGATGCATAAAGGAGATAAGGAAGGTTGCCTGAAAGGTAACAGAGAGTTCCCTGGTCCTCACTTTTATTTCTATTGTTTTTTTGGATTTGTGATGTTAATAGCACCCGTTAACGGTGCATGTGATATTAGGTGGTACCAAGTTTCCCACTGCCCATTACTAAGCTGATTCTGTGAATACAGATGACCTACAGATTTTGATACGGGTCTAAATTAGTAGACATAACCTTTTCTTTGTAAAATTCTGCATTAGGGGATGCTTTAGCTTTCTACCATTACCAGCTAACTTCATTATTGCATTGATCATTCTGATTGATTAATGAGACATGGCCTGTCAGTTCAATGGAATAATCAATGCAGGTACTGAACAATTAATGCATTATCTACTCAGTAAATTCAATAGTTAACTGAATAACAAAGAGATGGACTAACATGATGGACTTTGTTCTCTTTCTCATGGACAGCCATGAAGCAGTTCTGGGGTGAAGGGACTCATCGAGCAGAGATTGATGACATGATGAAGGAAAAGGCTACAATGAAAAGCACCAAGATTCTCAGTGTCTTGGAGCTAATGAAAGAAGCATCCTTGCGTTGGCAGTTGTATACCATAATTATTATTATAGGTACCCTGCAGATTTGTGGCATCAATACAGTTGAGTTCTTCCTCACTTTAAGTCTCAAAACTATTAGGCAGCCTTGAAAATGCTACAGACTCGGTATAATTGGCATTTGGTTAACATGGGAGTCCATAGCATTTCAGAATCTCACCAAGCAATCTCAAATGTATATTTAAGAGAAAGGGTGATAGTTTTGAGTACTGCAAGCCTCCACACATCAGGGTTCTTGGGAAGGAAGAATATGTTCTACTATGACATTCTTGGATCTGTCCCTGCAGTGTCCGTATATGTAGCTGTTTCTGATAGCTAGTGGGGATCAGCGGAGTGATAAGTACTGGGACTACCTCCTGCATATGTCAATATGTGCTGCAATTGTTAGCCATGGAAGGAAAGCACCTAACTCTGTGCCAAGCTAACATGCAGTCTGTCTAGGATGGGGAGTAATGCAAGCACACAAACTTAAGAATCGAATGTCAAAATTATTACATAGGACTCATTTGCCAATTCCCACTGTGATGTGAGACTACTGGATTGAGGAGTATAAATATAAGGAGGTATCTTGAGCGACTATAGTGCAGGTCTATTTATGATACAATATCATCTGACAAATACAGGTCCCTAGCGCAGCAGCAGCAACAGCAGAAAACTGAAAAACCTGGTCAGCGTCATACTCCACTCCATCCTTGTGTGTAAGGACTGCATACACAAGCAGCACAGATTAAAAGGGAACAATTCCGTATTGCAATGTTTCACCACCGCATTACAATGCTGCATTGCATGGAGAAAGGTTCTTAACTCACCCTCAAACAATCTATTCAAACACTACTTCCCACATGAGTAGTAGACATTCACTGGAGCAACTGCCATACTTACAAACAGGAGCAGAGCCCCACCATTATTTCAATACTGCAGAGATCATTCCTTCTTACGTATAGTGGCTGATCTTCCCTGACAAGCAGTCTGTGTGTGAGAGAGAATACCACTTGCCCTGTAAAATGGGTTCCACTTAAAAACACTGAGTTCCTAAGGAAGAAATACACCATTCCATTCCGACTACAAGTCTTTAAAAAGCACTTAATGATGCATGTCTATTAAGAACTGATGAAACCTCAGCAACTGATGGTCTCACTGTCACAGGATTTTAGCTACTGTAATTTTTTATAGTAAAATATTTTAATTTCATAACATTTTACAATGTTTTCATCTTTCAATAATACGAAGTCTCACACCTACCCAACTTTATGTAGAAGTGCAACATTACAACTCTGAACAGCAGAGACCAATCATGGTTCTCACTGGAGAATAGCAATTGTTTATCTGGTGCCAGGCACAGTGTCACACAAATATATGTAAGAGGTAATTTACTTTTTTTTAATTGCATTTTCTAGATCTATGTTTATGCTTTTGAAGTGCTCCATGTGGCTGGGTTTGATGAAGACATCATCCGCTACATGTCACTGAGTGTTAGTCTATGTGAACTCCTCTCTTCTATACTCTGCGTAAGTAAAATTACACTGGGAATTGGTCAGAATTTGCTCCATCTGCTATTACATCAATGTGATTTGTATCCCTCAGAGCATCATCATTGAGCACTTTGGCAGAAAGAGGCTGCTTTGCGGGGGCTATGGGATAATGGCTTTAATACTGGCTGGCCTCACAGTAACTCTTGCCCTGCAGGTGAGGAAACACTTTTCAATGAGTTCTTTTCCAATATCAACCCTGTTTCTAACCCTTCCCATCAATAGTTCTACTGGCTATAAAAAAGTCCAGTTGGCTCTAGAACCCCCACAATAACTTCTGCTACCATGATGGCAGAGCTAGTAGTCGCTAAAGTTTGTCATGAGACTCCCCCAGTCTTCCTCCCACTCTGATACAGGCAGGGCTGAACCTCATGCAGATTCAATCTTGATTATCCTTCTTCTTTTATGGCCTGTGAATGTGGCTACTGTTAGCACAGTCTGCTGTATTCCTCCCTCCATTACAGCTGGACCCAGCCAAAATGGTTACAAGCTAAATCTGATCTCAACAATACTAGTATCATTGCTGTTGCTCCTTCAGGGACAGGGCTCTTGTGATACCAGCGCTCCTGGAAGAGGAGCTGCTCCAAACTGCTACCTTACCCAGTGCCTCCCACTCCTGTTTCATTCATGATGGATCAGTGTAGCTACAGAATCACTGGTTCAGGCTCCACCCTTCCTTGTGACCAACACTCTGTGCACTATGGTGCAGGGACTCTTCTCTACATGGGGATGTGATCCATGGAGTGCAGGAGGTACAGCTCTCCTGAACAGGCTTCCAAAAGCTTTCTTCCACCCCTGCACAGCAGGCAGGATCTGCTGCATCCAGGGACCTCCGTGTATGTTGAAGGGGCTACAGAGGCAAGACTTGCCCTTAAAGAAGTGACCTCAACAAAAATGGAATTTTGCCCTTTTTGTTTGTTTCTTTCTTTATAGCATACAAGGAGGCCTTGAAGGTTCTCTTTTGTTCAAGGATTCTTCTATACATTCAAAATTCAGGTCTTATACCCTGGATTTATAGACAACTGGACAACTTGGAGATCTACCACAAAGAATCTATGAAAGGACAACATGATTATGGGAAAGGGAAAGTGATTTTTAGTCACCCTGCTTAAAGCATTGTTTTTGTTCATACCCATTTAACTCAAACACATGGGGAAAAAGCCTTTCATTAAGGAATCAAGACCTTCACCCCTTCAACAAGGCATGAGAAAGATCTCTCATCTGGACTGTGAACTAACGAGTCCTTAACAAAATCAGGGAAGACAATTTGGTATTCTTCATATTTCTAAAGTTAAGAAAAAGAAAAGCAAACAGAATTTGGGAGGTGGGGAGAGAAGGGGCAGTGGGAAAACGAGGCCAGGGAAACGAGGAACTATTTGTCACTAGTTGAACAGACATCACTAAGCTTTGTTTTCCTCTCTAGGACTGGTTCTTCTGGATGCCATATTGCAGCCTCTGTCTTATTTTGTTGTATGTGATCTTCTTTGGAATTGGGCCAGGTGAGTAGTTAGTTCAACAGAGAGGGAGAGAGACAGGAACCAGGCCACGTGAGTACAATAATATAGTAAGGAGACAGGGAAAACAAATAGCACATGCCATTAAGTATATGTGGAGTAACAGCAGAATCCAGAATGCTAATATGCACAAGGATAGGGAAAGAACAGAACTAGACCACATGAATACATCTTCTTAGAAGAAGGAGGGAGGGAAGAGGCTTAACTATTTGAGTGCATTAACCTGAGAGTAGAGCCTGAGTGAAGGAAATTGCTGACCTTACTTTATTGATTATATGACCTCAGAGGCTCAGGAAATAGTTTTCTCCAGCTCAGAATGTCTCTTTCCCCTGCTTCCCAAAATATGTCATCTATGGCACTGATTCTGTAGCAGCACATGGCCTCCCAGGAGTTCTCAAACTGTGGTTTGGGACCCCAAAGTGGGTCACAACCCCATTTTAAAGGGGTCAACAGGGCAGGCATTAAACTTGCTGGGGCCTGGGGCTGAAGCCCGAGCCCCACCGCCTGGGCCTAAAGCCAAAGCCTGAGGGCTTCAGCCCTGTGTGGCAGGGCTCAGGTTACAGGCCCCCTGCCCAGAACTGAAGTCCTTTGACTCCCTCCCTCCCCAAGTAATCAGAAGGGGGTCCCGGTGCAATGAAGTTTGAGAACCCCCATATTGGCAACATGAACTCAATAAATAAAACAGGAGAACAAGCAATTCTAGTTCACCTAAGGCACTCTTTGATCAAGTATTAGCCCCAAATATTATTTAACATTAGGCACAGGCATACTAATTTTGCTTAATTTTGAACACTCTTGAACATCATAGGTTTAGTAGCAAGACACAGACTTAAAAGTTATTGGCCTTGTGTTTTGCTAAACAGAGAACAAAGAAGGTGCACAGAGAAAAAAATATTCATGGAAAAAACAGGGTGATAAGACAGAGTAGAGAGCAGGCAGAGTGAAAAACAGACAGAGAGAGACTGGAAAAAAGAGGAAAAGTTTAAAAATACATCGTTATACACATGTGCCCAGAGTAGATAATTCATTTGTGACAGAGCAGCGATACTCAGACCTCAGTGGTTCAGGAGCCAAATTACTGATAAACATTACCCAAAAGAGCCACAGTCGTGTGAATTCATTATATATAATTTTCACAGCAAAATGACTGACCAGGTGTTCTACAATTGGTTAATAACATAGTATAAGCATCCTGATTGGTTAATAATTAAATCACTCAATGTTTTAATATCATGTGCTGCAAAGAGCTGCAGGAAACACATTAAAGAGCCATTTGTGGCTCCCGAGCTTTAGTCTGAGTATCACTGTGCTAGAGTAGCTTTTGGGGTGACTCTTTTTTCACTAATACATACTGCAGGCTTCCTGTTACCTAGAAAAGCCTGTTCGGTTTCAGCTGCCTTCCCTTCCCCTGGCGGGAAGCATGGTTTGCTAACTCACAGTTGTTTTGTTAGTCCTGGGACCTCAAAACATAATTTGAAGCATTCCCTAATGCCAAACTCCATGAGGGTCATCCATGCCTATCAATACCATCTATTACATTGGGACATTAAAAAGGGAGAGTTCCATAGTCCTATAACAACAACAAAATAATGATGATAATAATAATAATAAGCACTTGTATAACATTTTTCATGGCAGACCTTCAAACTGTTACAAACATTCATCCTCACATCTTCTCAGTGAGTTAATTACCATTTAAAAACTGAACATTTGCTACATAGTAGAACGAGAAATACCACGGTAGTAACTCAGATGCCAGTGTGGAGTAACTGTGGGTATTTTCTGTCTTCGTAATGGCAACGCATCCTGGGGTCATCACCACCAATACTTTACATGTAGGGACATTGAGGCAGAGAGATTAAGGCATATATTCAGTAATGTACTTAAGGATGTGCCAATGAGTTGTCCCAATGATTTAAATGAGATTACTACTATACTTCCCAAATTGGGGCCTAAATGGCTTGTCCATGGGCACACAATGAGTCTGTGGAGAAAAAGAAATCAGAACTCACAAGATCCTAGCTTTCAGCTCTATATTCAGTATGCATCCCATACAACCTCTTACCTTGGCCATTACATTAGCAAGATGGTTTGGTTATCTATTTTCACCAACAACTTTTACCGAAAGTTTTTTTCAGTGGAGGGAGAGAGGAAAGAAAGAAGGTGAAGGGAAACAGAGTAGCTAAGAAAACAACACAGCAATTATTACTTATTCATGTTTCATCTTCCTTTCAGCTGGAGCCACAATATCCATTAGGGTTGAAATCTTTGACCAATCATCCAGACCATCTGCCTTTGTGATTGGTGCGGCCCTCAACTGGGTTGGAATCTTTGTCATTTGGATGATTTTCCCATTCATTGTGGTAAGTGATTCTAACTGGAACATTTCCCAACTGTTTCTAATTTAAACCACCTTGGGAGGTTTGCAGGAAAATGGGGATGAATAAAGAGCAGTAAAGCACAATGCTGGGTCAGTTTGGAATCTTTTGGCTCCTGCTCTATGGAGACCACTTACGTAACAGAGGTGGTGCATTTCAGTTTTAGACTGATCTCAAACTCAAACTTGTAAAGAATGATTTCTCCTTTATTTAAACATTATCTGACTTCAAAAAGATATAAAGTCACATTCAAGAATCTGAAAGTCAGAAGATTTGTTCATATTTCTCTCAATTTTTTTCCCCAGGAGAGTCTTGGTCAGTTCTTCTTCCTCATCTTTATGGGGGTTCTTGTCACTTCCGGGATCTTTATCTACCTGTTGCTTCCAGAAACAAAAGGAAAGTCTATCACTGAAATCCAAGACGAATTCAATAAGTTAAATTTTAGGAAGAAATATGTCCCAGCCATGGAGAAGAACATCAGTGAAGATTATACTTTCTGCACTCCGCTCTGATTGGCCATCAAAGGGAGTCAGCAAAAGGAAGAAAGAAGAGACATTAGTGACTTTCAGACTGGAAAGTAAAGCCACCCAGGACAGTCAGCTTTAATATCTTTAATTGGACCAACTTCTGTTGGTGAAAGGGATAAGCTTTCAAGCCACACAGAACCTGAGGAAGAGTCTCTCTCACCAACAGAAGTTGGTCCAGTAAAAGATATTATCTCAACCCACCTTCTCTCTCTAATGTCCTGGGACCAAGTGCTGCTCTCCAGTCAACTCAGAAACAGGATGATGTCTGTTAGTAACAGATCCAGCGCTCAAGACTGGAATGACTGAGAACTCTGGCTTAACTTGGTGAACAGTAAATCTTCTTTTATACCATCTATCAATGAATCAAAGGTTGGCATTATGTTTAAAACTTTTAAACAACTTTCCATGAGTAAAGAGAGGAAATAGAAACCCACCTCTTCCAAAGTGACTTGCAATTGTCATTTTACAATACAAAACTGGGAATAGTGAAGTTATTCAGTTGCTAAGGTTTAGTCAGTGATAGATCCAAGAAAAAGTGAAAAAAAAAGAGGAGGGAAAATCCATTGTTCTTTTTGGCCCATCATTGAATGGGAAAAATTTTGATTCACATCACAAAGGGATAAGAGCTCAGATAACTCTCCATAAAAGATGGTGTTATAGGCAGAACTAAGGTTGCTCAATACTTTCCATTCTAAGATTCTGCTTTCAGTTGCTCATAACTTTGCCAAACTTAAACTGTTCTGGCTGAAATTTTCCATGCCTCAGGCTGATTTCCCCCAACCCCTCACATTCCCTGCTTTTTTCACCTTTAAATTTCAGTTAAAGAGTTCAGATGTTGGCAAAAATGAGATTAGATAAAAACGTTGTTTTCCCCATGTTAAAAAAAATTCTTACAGCAGTTTTGTTGAGAAGTTCTACCAAGTCCATCCTTTGAAGAAAGGACTTAACATTTGTCAGGATGGTCATCCGAGTGTCAGGAATGTGCCTTTTGCTCTCCCCATGTGCCTGTGCTAGACAGTTTTGGCACCCCTGTCATGAGGTACTCCTGTGTGCCAAAAATGCTAACAAGGGGTATGAACCAGAAGAAAAAGCCTTGTGTAAGAGTCTTAGCCGTTTTCACAACTGATTCCACCTTATCATTTCTCTGCGGGTATGCTGGAGAGATGGTGTGGTGGCCAAACTCCCATTTACATGCAAATTCCTGGAATTCTTCCAAGCCAAACAGGAGTCTGTTGTCACTGAGTACAGAATCTAGAATGTCATATCTCACAGAGTGGGTCTTCAGTTTGCCAAGCATTGATTTCCTTTTTGTATCAGGTAGGGCATCAACCTCCAAAAATTGGGACTAGTAATCCACTGTAGCCAAGTATTGGTTTTCCTTGAAGGTAAGCAAGTCCTCTCTCACCTTTTCCCAGGGTTGAGTGGGCAGTTCATATAGTAACAGAATCTCTCACCCTTCTAAGGAGTTCAGTTATGTATTCATTCCTTGCCAGTGAAGACCCTCTCAAGTCCATCTAAGACAACTGTCAATGCCAAGGTATAAGGCATATTTTTTTGCATGATATCCTTGCATAATAAGGCAGGGACAATAGCTTTGTCCTCAAAATACGATTCCATCCTGCACACTAAGCTCATTTTTAATTTGAAAATACAGTTCTGCTCCTATCAGTACTTGGCTTTTGTCTTCTGGCCACCCTGCTAGTATCTCTAGACTGTAGTCGGATGTCCTTTTCTGTAACCTCTTTGATTTCCATCAGCTTCGCTGTTGAAACTGGGAGATAATGCAGCATGTTAATGGATACAATGTTCTGATCCCCTTCCCCAAGCTCACGGATGGTGGGTAAATGCCCTGCTCAGGTGTCAACTAACACCAGTAATCTGCCTGGACATTATCTCTGCCTGGTGGACTGGAGGCACATCCATATGCACTGCAATCTCTTTGGAACATTAAGAAGGGGCCTTGCCATAATTACACTATTCCTGGGTAGCCATAGGTGTACTGATGGAATCACTCCACTCTAAATATCACAGCCAGAAGCTCTTTTGGGGGATATCCCTGTTCAATCTGATAGGGTTCTGCTGGCATAAGTGACTGACTGCTCCTGCACCCAATCCCTTTCTCCAATGCATCACCCTGGAGTGTCAGTGGCTCTCCTGGCTGGTAGTCCCTCAGGACCAGGGCATCCGTTCTGGTTCAGCATGTAATATGCTTGCTGTTAGGGACCTGCCCCGTCCCACTCAGCATCCTGCCTTTTGAGCTGATGTATGGGTTCCACTATTGTAGCCACATGTGAATAGAACTTGGACAGAAAATGTATCATTCCTATGAAGCACTGTACCTCTCTCACATCCAGTGGAGCTGGCATGTCTGACTGACTTGATCTTCTTGGGATCTATTTTTAGTCCCTCTGTTGTAAGTGGATGTCCAGTGTAGCTCACCTCCTGCTGAGTCACATTTTTTCTGAGTTGAGTTTTACATTCATGTCCCTGCATCACTGTAGAAGAGTTTGTAGTTTTCTGTCTTGTTCAGCTTCTTTGACATTGCTACCTTCATCTGGAATGTGGATATCATCTGCAGTTATTTTCACCCTAGGCAGGCAGTCCAACACTTGGGTGATTCTTATCTGGCACACCTCTGGGGCATGGTTTATGTCTATTAACATGTGCAGCCATTTGCAGCAAAGGTTCTGAGCATGCTGGACTCTTTATCAAGGTTTATTTGCCAAACCCATTCCTCACAACACAGAGTATAAAAATTCTGGCCTTGAAGAGTTCTGGGAAGATGTGATCAATTGTGGATAGTGGCATTTTTTTCAATGTCCAGTTCAGTGGCTTTGAATCTATGCAGACACGTGATTTGCCTGATGGCTTTTTTACCACCATGTTGCTTACCCAGGCTGTACTGGTCTCTACAGGTGCTAGGATACTCCTGCTCTACAGACTTTCAAGCTCATTGCATACTAGATTATGTAGTGCCACCAGCATTTTCCTTTGAGATAAGCACACAAGTTCCACTGTGGAGTCTACTTTCAGTCTTAGCTTTCCTTCGAGGCACCCTTTGCCGTTGAAAACATCCATATGCTTTTAAAGTTGTCTCCATTGTCTATGAGACTCCCCCTTTTGCTTCTTGCACTGCAGCTACAAAATTCTGAAGCTGCACCCAGATCAGATCCATGGTTTGTATGGCTGCATTTCCCAAGAGGAGTCTGTAGTGCTTGCCATCCACCACCACAAACTTCAACTGGTACCATTTCTTATTTTTCAGGTAAGTTATTACAAAGTCACATTTTCCTATGGGCTACATTATGTTCTCATTGTACATTGTTAGATTGTGCCTGTTCTTTGTAATGGGTTTATTCAAGTGCAATTCACACTGAGGAATTTCACTGAAGGGGGTCCTGCCATCCAGCTGAAATAGCACAGGGCATTTCTCTATTAACATTGTTGCATGCACAGAGGTTGATATTGTCCCTTATTGCTTTCCTGTCCTGACAGCCTGAACCTGCTACATTCTCAGACTGAAGGAAAGAGTCATGATATCATCCCTGCTGTCTGATGTGTAGCATCACCTCTCTTGTACAAGTCTGACTAATCTTTGAGACCTGGCTCTGCTCTTGCATGTACTGCTAAAATGGTCCAACTTGACACAACACAATGCTATCCTAGTGCAGGGCACTTCTCCTTTACCTGCTCATGCTGTCTTCCACAGTAAATGCATCACACAGTGGAAATGGAACACTGGCCACCTGGTCATCTTTGCGGTTGTCTCACTGCATGTACTTCTGGGGGTGTTGTGCCTCCTACGCTTTCATCCTCTCTCGAGGCTTCTGCTGCATGCCCCATGTCTAAGCATCTGTTTAATACGAGATTGCCTTCCTGACACAGGCAGCAGATGTAAGAGGCTTGGGGAGGGTAAGCCTCCCCAAATGGGGCAAGAAATGTCAGATGCGGCCGCCAGCCCACAACCTTTGGAGCGCTGCTGCCGGAAGCTCCCAAGAACTGAGGAAACCACTGGTGCCCAGACCATGGCCCCACCCCTACTCTGCCCCAAGGCCCTGTCCCTGCTTGGCCTCTTCCCTGTGGCCCCGCCCACACTGCAGCTCTTCCCCCCGAGGCCCCACCTTCATTCTGCCTCTTCCCGCCCTCACTCCGCCTCTTTCCTTGAGGCCCCCTGCAGCCCACCACTCGCTGCTCTCTGCCCCCTCTCTCCAAGTTTCTCACTCTTAAGGCAGGAAGGAGCAGAAAGGAGTGAGTGGTGGGGGGCTAGGTGGAGAGGGTGAAGAGGAGAGAGCGGTGGGTGGAGGCAGGGTGGGGGCAGGGCCTTGGGGCACGGTAGGGGTGAAGCATGGGCAGGGCCTTGGGTAGAGCAGGGGGCATGGCCCCAGTCTGGGTGCCGATGGCCCCTCCCATTTCCAGAGAGCTTCTGCCACTCATGCCCAGCCTCCCCAAACACAGAATTCATGTGCCACCTATGCTTCCTGGTGCAGCTACTCCCACAGATGGTGTTCCCAAGTGCTTCAGACTATCCTGTCCCAAATCAGGGAGTCTGTCAAGTCCCCAAATGTGCATGTAGCAGCCTGTGTAAGGCTGCAACATAGGGGTCTATCCTTCCCTTTGGATTGGTCTGTAGTGAAAAACTTGTGTCACTCCACACTTTTGTTCTGCTTTGGGGGACAATAGTTTCCCAAGGCTCCTAGGCCTGCTGTGAGGCTTGAGGCAGTGGTGAAGATCTCTCTGCCTTGCTCCTCAATATGATAAAATAGTTTTACTTTTCCATTGTAGTCTCCCTGCCTGACTAGGTCTGTGTACAGGTCAAACTCCTCCTTCCACCAGGTCCATAGTCTAACAAGTTCTATGTCTTCAAAATCCAGGGCTTCAAACCAAACTCCATGGCTCACACTCCCCGCTGTTGCATTTCAGAGAACTCACAGCTCTGACACTGCTACAATGTTTTATTTGAAAAGTATGAAGCTGAATCCAAGTTAAGTTCAACAAATGGAACTTTACTAAACCCTATAGACTGCTCTATCCATGTGGCTTCCAGTTGCTTCCAGCCTAACTTCCTGCATTTCCTGTTCCACTGGTGTCCTGTCAATAAGTCTCCCTAGGGAACAAGGGCCCTCTAACTCCAGTTCCAGTGTTCATGATATAGAGGAAGAAGCTGTCTGACTGGAATGCAGAGAAATGAGGGGGATTTGCAGGAGCCAGATGGTGGGAAAGAGCAGAGGGAGAGAGGGACAGGAGCTGGAGAGGAAGGAGCCAATGGGTGAGGGCCAGCAGCAGATGGGGATGGGGACAGAAGCCATGAGGGTCTGTGAACATTTTATTTAAGGACATGCCAAGCATCATATAGGA